AGTGGTTTATATTTTATTTTTGCTTATCTGTATCTGCCAATTTTCCTACACGGGTGGTGGATTATTTGTGCAATTAAACCATCACAGCAGAACAAAAAGTAAGAGGTCATTTGGGCTCCCCTCCCCGCCGCATCTCACCCTCTCGTTCAAAGTAGCCCCCACGTGGCTTTTCCCAACCCAGGGGTGTGGTTGCCTTTCAGCCCTTGTTGGCCAGAAAGGTCTCAATTCAGTTTGGTCTCACGGATTATGTCTACCACCTGCCCAAACACGCCAACTGATGCTCTCTGAGTTTGTGCTCAAGACAAGGTGTGGGCGCAAACCAATTGTAAAATGTCGCTAATTTGGCGTTCGAAACTTGCCCAACACAGAGTCCTTGGTCGAGGCAGGGCCTGCCTGTGACCGCAGACTGCCGTCTCGTCACCTTCCTATGCTGAGCAGTTTGTCTCAGTTTAGGGGTTGGATGCGAAACAGGAGCGTTTTTCTCTATGGATCTTGGGAGCCAGGTGGCTTCTTACTCAAGGGCTTCTTCTCATGGGATAGAGACTAGGCCAGCGGGTTACAAACAGGCTTTCTTTCTGGGGCAACAGTTGGCCCAGGGGCTGTTGGAGGTTTAGAGCGAATAACCTGGGGAATTAGGAGGGGGAAATACAGGCGCCAGTCCTTCCCAAACCCTCGTCTACTGAGCATCACTCTAATTCTAGTCCATTTTCTCCAAGTTCTTGAAATGTTTGCTTAGTGATGGTTGACTTTTTGGAGCTGGGATGTAGGGGTAGAGAGGATGCGTGGAGCCTTTTTTTCTCCCTTTCAATTAACTAAGCCTTCAGGGTTAAAAAAAAAAATATATATATATATATATATATATATATATCCCATTTTTCACATCTATTTATTGAATACCCATCGTGTGTCACGAATTAGGATTCACGGGCCTGAGAACAGAACAGTGACCAGAAGCCAGTCCCTGCCCTCAAGTTGCTCACGTTCTAGTGGCGGAAATGGTAGTCATATTACACAGAAGTCTGTACCGTAGTGAGGCTAAGCTCAGAAGCTCACCCAGGGTTTGTGGGAAAAGAGAGGAGGCACCAAACCAGCCTGAGTGGATTGGAAAATGCCACAAGGAGAAGATGACATCTGTGTGGGGCTCTGAAGAACGAATCGGGGTTACACAGGTGAAGCTGTGTGGCCCTTGGCAACTTAACTAACTTCTCTGAGCTTCAGTGTCTTTGTTAAATGGCTGCTAATAGTACTTCACAGGTTTGGGGAAGAGACTGAATGAGATTGTTTGTGACACATGCTTAGCACGGAGCCTGGCCACCAGTAAAGAGTTCCACATGTGGAAGTCGGTTGTCCCATGAAGATGAAAATGATGATGATGATGATGATGATGAAGAATCCACAACTAGGGAGAGAAAAGACCAAAGTGAGACTTGGGGGAAGGGAAGCGGCAGAGGGACTCTCTTCTGGCCCCCTCATGCAGCCTGTTCCAGGACAGGCTTAGTACTACACTGGTAGGTTTTGACCTGGAAATTCAAAATACAAACCAATGTTTCCCATATGATCTTCAAATCTAAAACAGGAGGAGGATTTGCTAGGTGTCCCCGTCCCCTTGTAGCCTGATCACAAATGCACTGATACATCCAACCCAGGAAAAGAAACTTCAGACTCACGTTTATTTTCTTCCCTCCCTCCCTCCATTCCTTTCTTCCCTCTTCCTTCCTCTTTCACTCCCTCCCTCTCTCTCTCCTTTCCTTCCTCCCTCTCTCTCTTCCTTTTTTTTTTTTTTTTTTTTCCTCTCAATCAGGTCATTCTCCAAGAAGAGAAGGCACAGGTAAGCATCTTGTTGCCTCTGGGTGACTGCTTAGCTTTCCGCTTTCCTAACCAGGTTTAGGCAGCATCTAGGGTCAAGCTCTCTGCCTCTACCTCTGTGTTCACGCCCCCTTCATCTTCCTGGGCCTCAGTTTCCTCTGAAATGAAGGCCATGATCTGGTTTCCCTGAAAGTTCCAAGCCGGACTTTCAGTTTCCCCCAGGCCAGATGGTTGCTGCCGGACCAGCTCCTACCGATTCCTCTCCCTGGCAGGTCTCGCCACGCTTGCCAGAGTCTGTCTGTTTGACCGCTGGTTGAAATCTTGGGTTGGGGCATGTAGAGAAGCATCAGCCCCAGACACACCACCAAAGCCTTCCCAGATCCTAGCCAAGGGACAGAGGCCAAGTGCTAGAAGCACAGGGTGAGCACACACAACGCTGTCACCTGTGGGGTACCCACTATAAATCAGATCCTGTGCTAAGCCTTTTCCATGCGCGCGTGTATTTAATCTCCATTAATCCCCATCACAACGCTGTGCGGTGGATATCCTTATTATTTCCATTTTACAGATGAAGAAACTAAGACTAAGGAGGTGTGGCAGGCTTGTCCACAGACACACGGTCAGAAGGTGGCAGAGCCAAAACTCAAACCCAAATCTGTCAGACAGAGGATCAGGACACCCTTGCGTGGCTTCCAAAATAACAATAGCACAATTCCAGCAGCTGGCAGAGTGCAAAGGCCTTTCATTCATTCGGTGAACAAGTAGACACTGATAACCAATGTCATCCATCCACTCAGCCCAACAGCTTGAGCAATGGCCCCATTTTAAGGGCAAGGAAACTGGGTCTTCGAGAGGACAGGTAACCTGCCTGATGTCACACAGCGACTCAGCAGCAGAGCCAGGATGTGAATTTGAATCGTTCACTGGGGTCCTGGGCTCTCCACCTCCCAGGCTGAGTCCCAGACACATGTCAAGGTGCGATTTCAGTTGGGTGAAATCAAATTTTCTCGTTCTCAGGACTTAGGTCAGTGATACGTTCCTGGTGACCCTGTGACGCCGGTCTGGCTTGAACTACCAAATAGTGTTCGCCGTCTGGGGCCTCTGTTTGATGCTGCTGGGACCCTGAGTCGTAATTGTCCCCTCTGCCCGCACCCCAGTACTGTGACTTTAAAAGAAAACAGATACTTGAATATTCACGAGCGGAACGTTTCAGAATCTGCCAAACTTCATGAGGCTTTAGAGCAGCTCCCTGGATATTCCATTCTTTTCTCTTAGAAATTGATTGAACAACAGTCAAGAGGATGGGCCCTGGGACCCATGGTCTGGGGCCACTTTCCAGCTCACCTGTGTGATCCTGGTCAAGTTTCTTAGCCCGTCTAAGGCTCAGTTTCTATTTCTGGGAAATGAGTGCTTATTAAATGTGCCACTGCCCATAGGTTGTAGGGAGAATGAAATGAGATTATTGCCAAGAGGTATTAGCACAGCGCTTACCTGATAAGAAAGCCTCAAAGCGTGGCAGATATGATGACCTTTGCTACTGCTGTTATTGTGAAGCTACCAGAGCTGATCTTAGCATCCTCCGTCCCCCATCCCCAGTCTGTACGTGTGGGCTGGTGTGTCTAGCTGAACCCACTGGGTGAAAACGTTGGCAGCAACTGCTCTGGTCTTAGAAACGATCGGCGTCCATTCCCAAACTGCCTGAATGTAGTGACCACCGTGTGTTAAGCATCTTGACTACTTTATCTTTTGCTAGAATTTTGCATCTTTCGGTTAATTGGCCATTTCTCATTCAGCTCCTCCAGCCCAAAAAACAAAAGAAGGGAAGAGAAGAGGCACAAAAAACAGTAAGTAGATCCCACCTGCAACATACTGTCCAGCTTGGGGAGGTGGGGGACTGACCTGTGGACAGCCAGAGGGTTAGAATTGCCAAAGAAATGGGGACCGGGAGAGGAGGGTGGGCAAACAAGAGGGCCGAAGGAAGGGGAAGCAGAACTGTGTGTAGACCTGCAGTTGTGGGTTTGTCATGCATGGGTGCATAAGGTTGTGTATGTGATGTGTGTGTATGCATGCGTGTCTGTGTATGCGTGAAAGTGAACGGTGTGCATGTGTGTGAATTCTGTGTGCCTGTGTGCGTTGGGTAACGTTTGTACGTGGTGCGTATATGTGTAGCGTGCACTCTGTAAATACTATCTGTACATTCTTCCATCGTGCAAACATTTGTGTGCAATGCAGGTGCATAGTGTGTGTGTGGCGGGGGTATATATCTGTGTTCACACGAATGCATATGTGTGCCCGTGCTTATGTGAGCATGAACTTGAATAGCATGCATGTAGGTGCCCTGTCTGCTACTGTGTGCTAGTTCGGTGCCCTCGGCGTGTGCACCGCTTAATCTGCGTGCATTACTCATAGGGAGGGTGCGGGATGGGGTTTACCTGTGCACGTGTGTGCTGTGTGTGCACAGGTGGGTAAGGGGGCATGATCACATGCGTGCACACACGTGTGTGTGCATGTGAGTCCCAGCCCCAGCCTCTGGGCTTACAGCATGGAGATATCAGGGGAGCTCCTACCCCCGGCCTCGGGTCCTAGCTGGTTCACGGTTTATAGCTGGTAGTAGAAATTCAAATCAGCCAGCGCTGCCTGAAGAGTTCAGTTCCCAGCCAAATTAAAAGTAAATTTGGTTACAGCCCACCTACTTTATACCCTTGCAGATGTTAGTGAGTGTGTTTTCCAATCAACTAACATTTTATCTCCCACCAAGAAGCTTCTAAAGCGAGAATCAAAGGCAAGGGGATGAAAGTCAGTGGGCTGCTGGGGAGGGAAAAGAGGAAGCAGGGCGTGGCGCTCAGCTTTGCCGGCCTGAAGCGCCTCACCCAAGGTCAGTGCGAAAGAGGGCATTTCAGGCACCACCACGGGGGCCTGGGGAACGCTCCAGAAGGAAGCAATAGAGCTGTGAGTTAGCTCAGGGAAGAACTTCCCAATCATCAAGCTGGTTCAGTTCACGTCAAGAGGCAATCATTGGTCATCTGTATACAGTATACGCTCACACTAAGCACAGACAGAGCCTGTTCTCCGAGGCTTCAGCATGGCTTGTCCATGGAGCTGTGGTCTAGACAGTCACTGAGCTGGGGGCTGCGCTCAGACCCCAAGAGTTCTGGGAAGATCATGACAGAGGCACGGACTGCCTGCCTGAGGGCAGCAAGGTGGCCACCCTGCCCAGCGCCAAGAGTTGGACAAGTCTCAGAAATCACTAGCAGGACATAAAAGAAGGTTGTGAAAGCCAAAAATCAAGAGTCAGGAGAAGGAGGAGCAAGAAACGCAAGGCGCCCCTGAGATCAGGTGGTTGTTCTTGCCAAGATCCATGGTTATTGAAGGCGGCTTTTAAACAGGGGACCGCTGGAGTAACTTACTTCCTCTTATTCAGCATCCCTTAGAGAGGCCCTAACAGGTGTCAGGCCCTGTGTGGGGCCCGAGGACAGAGATTAGACAGATGTGCCTCCCGGCCTCGAGGAGCTCGCAGCAGGACACCGGGGACAGATGTGGGACAGGTCACAGCACAGCAGTGGCAGATAGAAGCCCTGGGTGAGGTGGGAGCCCGGGTGCAGGAAAGAGGGCGTGGTGGTGAGGGGAGGCTTTCTGAGGGAGGGGTGGCTTAGGCTGGGGCAAAGGATGGAGGTAACCATTCTAGGCTGCAGGTTAGGCAAGTGGTTTAATCTCTCTGTGCCTTGGTTTCTGCATCTGTAAAATAGGAGTAATAAGAGAACCCACTTTGTAGGTTGTTATGAGGAGTAGATGAGTCCATTTAAGGGAAATGCTTAGAACCCAGTGCCTGGCAGGCAGTTTGTGTTAGAGACGGGTTACCTACCATCACCTTCACCATCCCCATCACCACCAACCCCATCACCACCATCCCCATCACCACCATCCCCATCCCCATCATCCCCATCACCACCATCCCCATCACCACCATCTCCATCACCACCATCTCCATCACCATCATAACCACCATCCCCATCCCCATCATACCCATCATCCCCATCACCCCCATCACCATCATCTCCATCCCCATCATCCCCATCCCCATCATCCCCATCCCCATCACCATCATCACCATCACCACCATCTCCATCACCACCATCACCATCACCACCATCCCCATCACCACCATCCCCATCACCATCATCACCATCACCACCATCAGGGCATCATAAAGTGTGGGAAATGTGTGAGCCAGAATACAAGCACCTCGGGGTTGCTTGAGCCTTTCAAACCAGGGCTCTGGATGCCAGGCAAGGAGGCTGGAGAGCTAGGCAGAGGCTGGCTCCTGAAGGTGCTTGGGGTTCAAGGTCAGAGCTTGGACTTGACATAAGGACAATGGGAGGGCTTTAAACAGGGAAGGGATATGGTCTGATGATCACATTACCAGAATCCCTGAGTCTTTTGTTGGGATAACCAAGGTACCTCACAGTAGAATCATCTCTAACTCCCACTGGCTTCCTGACTTGGCCCAAACTATTGACATTCCTTGTACATCCTCAGTGACCACTGCCACTGCTACTGCTACTTGAGTCATCATTATTATTTAGAGAAAGCTGAAGTAACCTGTTAGAACACCAGTTTTAGTGGCAGCGGTAACAGTTATTAGTAGTGTAATTTTTGTTGTCGATGATGTTTGTAACTCCCTCTGAGAGTGGGCTTTTGACTCCATGCTAAGAATCCAGACTTACCTTTCCAGGGCTGAGGTTACAAATTGGCAGCCCAAAGGCCTAATGGATTCTGCAAATGTGTTTTGTTAGCCCCAAACTGTGTCTTTTTTTAAAAAAATGAGCTTCCATTTAAAATAGGAATAATTTACATAAAAATCTCGCCTTCTATTTTCACTTGAAAAATTAGAAGATACAGCACCACGGCACTATTCACTTTCTTTAGCCCATGCCCTTCGGTTGGTTGATATTTTCTGAGTGCCTGACTGATACACACATTACGGTATCTGACTCGTTTGTGAAACCGTCTGAAATTGAGACTCCTGCCTCAGGCGAGGGCGAGGTGATGTGTGCAGGTGACAATTCTGCTCCCAGCAGAGCCCTGGGGGGCAGGCCGTCTCCCCCAGACGACCCCTTTCTGCTCTCTTGTGTTAGGGATGGCCGGTTACACAGGCGGGAGGCGGGGGTGATGCATGACCTTGGGAGGGACAATGACTTGGGCTCAAGAGAAAGATGTGTGTCACAAGGTCAACAACTCTCTGTCTCTCTCTCCTCTGATTTGTTCCTCTCACCCTCCACCCGCCCCAAGATCGCGAAGCCGGCCCCGAAAGTCTCACCGCCACCGTCATCACCACTGCCCCTCGCGGTCTCAGAGTTCGGAGTCCCGCTCCTCAAGCTGTGACAGCAGGTAACCCCCTCCCTGAGGCACCTCCTCACCCTGGCATCTGCCCAGAGCCCGTCTGAGGCGCGGTCACCGTCAGCTCTGCCTCCCACTGTCACTGTCGGGGAGGCTGCTTGCCCAGCAGAGGGGCACCCCCCCCTCGCACTCAGGCTGTCTACACTTCCCGGTAGAGAAGGGGCTGCAGACAGACGGACCTGCTGCCCCCACCTACAGGACTTGCTAACACCGTGCTTCTGTGTCCAGGTGCTGAGCACTCTTCCTGATCCCCTGTGTGATCCCCTCTCCAGCCCTACGAAGGAGGCACTATTGTCATCCCCATTTTAGAGATGAGGAAACTGAGGCACAGAGAGGTTAAGGAACTTGCCAGGCACTTAGCTACTAAGTGACAGAGCTTAGGACTGAACTGGGGCATCTGGCTCTGCACTTGACTGTCTCTCACTAAGGGTTGTTCTAAGCACAGAGAAGCTAAGTGACCTATGAAAGGCCACACAGCACAAGGTACCTAGCTCTGAGGCCCTTCGGAGTCTGGTTTCTCCTAACCTGGAACCTCTTTTTGCTGACACATTGGCTGCTCGGCCTGAGAAGAGGAAGAGTTTCTTGTGGGTGAGGGGAGGGAGTGGGGCTTCGCTGATGCTGGCGTTTGACATTGTTGAGACCAGTGGGAACATCAAGGGCCCCCTGATGGTGCCAGGCCAGCTTCCAGATGTCAGAGGCTCCTTTATTCTTTCTTAAGTGCTTCTCACACTTGGCTACGTGGCCATGTCACTTGGGAAGGTTTAAAAATCTCACTGTCCCGGTCCCACTGCATCCCGGTGAAGTCAGAACGCCTAGAGGAAAGAGGAGGAGAAATATTTACCTAAATTCTATTCTGAGCCAGGCGCTGTGCTGCAGCTGCAAATACATTCTCTCTCCTCTTAATCACCCCAGTCACACCATGAGCTAGACCAGAGCTTCTCCACTTTGGCTGCGTTGTGGTCGCTTTGGAAGTTTTTAAAAATACCAGTGCCTGGATCCCAGCTCCACACATTCTGATCTAATCCAGATGAGGTAGGTCCAGGGCAGCGAGATTTTTAAATCTCCCAGGTGATGTGAATGTGGAGCCGGATGTAAAAGCGTTCGAAAGGAGAAAGCCGCCCCTGGCGTCGAGTACTGGAGCCTTGGTGTCCCCACTGGACAGCAGCAGCTTCAAAGGGCATCACCATCACACAAGGCTGCTCTGTGAGCCTGAGTGATCCAGACAACAACAAGACCCTTCTGTAATCAGGTCCGAGCCCAGACAAAACAGGAACTTTGTCCAAAACCCAAAAGTGACCCAGCATCTCTCCATCCTGGCAAATGTGAGCGACTGCTGCTTCTTTACCAGTTATAGCCTTGACCTCGGTCTAGTCTCCCCTCTCTCTAGGTAGGACTGATGAAGACACCCAATCAGAGAATTACCTCCGCTTTCTGACAGCATCCAGTCCAGGCCAAAGCGCCAGCTCTTTGCGTGCTCCCAGCGTCCCCGACCATATACTCATTAATGGGTTCTCTCTAACACCCTCGGACAGAGACCGCCCTCCACTCCCCCGTGACGTGCATTCTCTGCCACTGCAGGGAGCAGTAACGATGCTTGTTCAAGTACAGGGCACCCCCAGTGGGCTTTATCTGGAGGGTGTTGGCACACTGAGCTCAACTGCATCACAGACATTTACAGCCGAGAAGCCTGCGTGTTGGTGGGCAAAGGGGTCCGAGCAAGGTCACGGTGACTGGCAGAGCTGACACCAGGACCCAGGTCTGTGTGACTTAGCCTGAGGCCTGGGCTGGAGGGCAGTGCAGGGCCCGCTTGCTGACTCTCGGCGCACTCCACTCTACCTTCTCCGAAGCTTACCTCTTCAGGAAGGGGCTCACCTCGCAGCCCTGGCCCCAGCCCTCCTGCTGCTGTCACATCTCCCGCTGCTGTTGCCGCCCGAGCTCCCCAGTGCCTGTTGGGCTGAGAGGCACTACAGCACGGGTGGGAGCAACCTGAGAGCTGGCCCCCGGGCCACACGCTCAGTAGAAAAGTGACCTGGAGGCCCCAGAGCAGAGAGGGACACTCCAGCGCAAGAACCAGAGGCAATGGTTCCCACGGGGACCCTCGTTCCACCACTTACAAGCTGTGTGACCTCAGGCAGGTCCCTAAACATCTCTGAGCTTCAGCTCTCTCATCTGAAAATAAGAAAGTAATATCTGCCCTGTGTATGTCTTCAAGTTGTAGAGGGGACTGTGAAAGCACCTGAAGAGGGGCTTACAGGTGCCGTGCAAGTCCATAAGGTGTTATTTTTATCACTACTGTGACCCAGAGCTAACAGGTAATGCAGAGTCCAAACACACCCTTTCTAAGGAGTCGGAGATTCCTTTGGTTTCCACCGCAGACAGGCAGCCAGATCTAGATGTGACAAGCTTGCAGACGGCATCTTTGTCGTTTTTGTCAGATATATTTTTTTTAAGTTTTGGGTGACAGTCAATAAGATGCCTCTATTTCACAGATGGTAAAGTCACATACACAAAGACACACAGATATAAGCAGCTACATTTATAGACAAACACATGAAAACACAGATGGACACACCCAGACATACACACAGTCACAGACACAGGCAAGCAGACAGACAATCACACAGGCACACAAAGGACAGTAAACTGAATCAAGATAGGGACCCTTTCTGTCTTCACAGCTGCATCCCCAGCCCCCAAAGCAGTGCCAGGTACATGAATAAACATTTGTCAAATGAACAAATGAGAGAATCAATGAATGGATGGGTGGGTGGGTGGATGGATGCACACGTAATTCATACAGACACACCCAAACACGCTCTGTTGTCCTCAGGTCCTATTGGCCCTTCAGTCACCTCTCTGCCATGCTCTCCATCAAAAGACCCTCAGCTTTCTCTCTCCTGCACCCAGGCACCGTGGCCAGTCCCCCGAGGAAGGGCGGAAGTCCCGCCGAAGGCACTCTCGCCGCTGCTCCAAGACCTTCTGCAAGGCCAGCCCTGAGTCCCGGTCCAGCCCCGCGCCCAGCCAGCCCCTGCAGATGCTCAGCTTCCTGTCGGCCAGGGGTGTAGTAAGTATTCCGCACAGCCTCCTCTGCCGGTCTTGGCCGTGACACTTGGAGTGGGTGGTGGCACAAGTTCAGGGCAGTGTCTGACACATTTTAATTCAGTTTCGGGCAAATATCCAACTGGTTTCAGACCTCCTTATTGATTAACCAGATGGTCATTCACCAGCCTTTGGCAGCACACTTCTTGGCGGCTTGGGAAGTGGGGGCTTGGGGGGACGGGAAAAACCCGAAGCCCCCGGCTCTTTATCAGGGGAACTTCGAAAGTACATACTGGCCTCCAGAGTGACATCTGCAGGAAAGCATGTATGAGACACCACAGGAGGTTTCTTTGGGGAGGAAGGAAAAGAGGGGGTCTTTGAGGCAACAGAGGCACTGCAGCTTTGCGGTGAAGTCTGCATCTTTGACAGCTAGGCTGCAGCACTGACGAGCAGATGGGGTTTAATTTCACCTGTGTAAACTCGGCCTTGAATGTATACGAGAATTTTCCTCCAAGGAGCTGATGGCACTCGGCCTCTCGTGTCCACACAAGGTCTCAGGGAGTTGAGGATGCAGCTGCCCTCACTAGTCCCTTCCACAGGTGGGACAGAAAAGCCGATACTCAGAAGGGTTAAGGTCTGGAGTGAAGCCACTGAGTAAAGCAAGAGCGAATCCAATCGAGAAACCGGGCCTTGAATGGGATCACGCAGCAGTCCCTCAGGTCGAGAAGGAGGGCTGGAATACAACTTCAGACAGTTCGATGCCAGGAAGTTTGCTGAGCAAGGAATTTGGAGTTGGGTCTGAACTCAACTTCCTAGCTGTGTGGCTTTGAGAAAGTCACTTAACCTCTTTGAAACTCAGTTTTCTCATTGGTAAATTTGAAATAATATCACTTCCATGTGGGATTGTTGGGGGTATCCACTAGCAGAAATTATGCGAAGGCCTTTTGTAGACTCTAAAGGGACAGACACACCAATAGGAGGAGATGCAGCACAGACTTACCCCATGCTTACAGCTAACAGCTGGGAAGGGGCCTGCCCCCTCTAGCTAGGCATAAAGCTGAAAATTTCAGAGAGCTGCTCCCTTAGAAAGGGTGAGGTGGAAGTAAGGAATAGCTCAGGGGTTCTTGCCGAGAGGTCAAGGAAGAGAAGGTGATGATAAGCACTGGTTGGGTCTGGTTGACACAATAGTTATATCTCCAGTGCATTCTGGGAAACCCTTCTTTACCAGTAAAGGCACCATGTATCACCAAGGTCTACTTTTGCCCAAATTTTCTACCTGGCTGGAATCATCCACAGCTCACCTCAGGGCCTTCCTTTGTAGAGATGCCTGTAGTTGCTCAGTATTTGCAGATGGTAAATGCTCACTTGCATTCTCCCCTCGGCGAATGTCCCATGAAAGGTCTTTCCAGTAAGGCAGAGAGTCCGGAGGCCTGGGGGCAAGTCTTGGCTTGGCAGGACAAATCCTTTTACCCCTCCCAGCCTCAGCTTCCTCAACTGGAAAATGAGCATGATTATCCCATTTGTGTCCCAAAGGAATTGTTGCAAAGGTAGAAATAAATTTAAAATACAAGCAGTAAGAGGTGGAAGAATGGTTTTAAGTTGGTAAAAGCAACCCCGTCTCCTTGGTCATGGTATTTATGGCAGCCCATTCGGTGGCCCTAACTGACCTTCATTAAAAAGTGCCATTGGGAGCAACTGGCTTGTGTTCTCTCACCTGGGATGGTTTCCTAACCAGTCAGGTCCAAGGTGTTGCAAAAAGCCGAATGTTGACTCCCCCCCCACCCCAAAATTGTGGTCCTCCCACACCAGTGAGTGAGGTACCAGACTGGCTGTTGGTTCTTAGGGCCCAGCTGCTATTAGAAGAGCAGAAAGCTCATCCATACCTAGACGGCAGAGGCCTTAAGAGCTCACCTAACCCAACACCCTGATTCCAAACAGAGAACCCGGACTCACAGGAGAGAAATGACTTCCACGGGCTATGGCAAGTCGGAGTTGTTAAAAACTTGGGACTATGTTTATGTGGTCAAATCCTGGCTGCGAGCTGGGGATAGTTATTTAAACCTTTTTGAGCTGCAGTTTCCTCATCTGTTAAAAAAAAAAATGCAAATAATAAACCTCTTCTTCAAAAGCCTTGTTTTGGGGACAGAAGCAGAGTAATTTTGTACATAGTCGAGCCCAGTGCTCGGCACAGGGACAGAGATCAGCAAATAGAAGCAGGTGTTGTGATGAAAACATTCCAGATGCTGGCTCTGTACTTTCCAGCCGTGGAATCTTGAGCAAGTTACATAAACTCTCTGTGCCTCAGTTTTCTCCAAATCTGCAAAATGAGGATAATAATAGGACCTACCTCATAAGAGGAATGTTGCGAGCATGCAATGACTCAACGTAAGTAAGACCTTCAGACTGTAACAGGCACGTGGTAGGTGCTAGGTTGCTGGCGGTGGATAGAAGCAGCAGCAGGATTAACCATGGCAGTAGTAATGGTAGTAGCAACAATAGTAGTGGAGTAGTAATAGTAGGATGGTTCCAGGCCCAGGCTAGTCTGTGGATGAGTTGAGACCACAGCTAGAAGCCCTGCTTCCCCTGCTTTCAGTTTCCTCCCATCCTCAATGGCAGCTGCAGCCCAAATGGCTAGCCCCACCCTGCTCATGGCTGCCTGACTCCTGGGGCAGCAGATGCCCCCGAAGTCTGGTCCTCTGTGTGCTCTCCATGCTGGGCTCTTTCTCATTCTCTGTCCTGCATAGGCAGGGATGGAAGAGGATACCAGGTTGGACCAAAGGTTTTCCAAGAGTCCTGGCCCCAAGATTTTTCTGAGCTCTCTGATGAAGAGAACAGCACAGTCATTGTCATTGAGTCACCCATTCCATCACTTGTTCAAATCTACCAGTTATCTACTAAGCATCTATAAAGGGTCAGCTCTGATGTGGCTCTCAGGATCCAGTGAATAAGAAACAGCCTGTGCTTTCTTAAAAGGAAGACAGACAAGGTAAAAATTGTTAAAGACAATGCACAACAGTGAATGCTGAGATGGGACAGGAGGTAGGCAGGCAGGGAAGGGAATTGGGTTTAGGGTTAGGTTAGAGCAGAGGAGGTGACAAGTGAGAAACTAGCCAGTGGAAGCAGGAAACGAAGGCTGGAGTCAGGATGGAGAAAGAATTCCAGGGCAGGAGATGGGGTTCTGGGGGTTCTGGAGGTAAACAGGAGCCCAAGCGTGAGGGGTCTCCTATGCCATGGTTCCTGCCACACTCCATGGTGGGCATCCCATATGCAGAGCTCTTTAAAAATCAGGGATGGGCACGTTACATCAAGGGGGCCTGTTTGCATACATGAATATGCAGAAGTGGGTTGTATCTTGTTAAAATCCTAGTTGGTGAGCTAAAGATAACCTGAAGCCCTCTTTCTTGGTCAGAGCCCAAATCCAAATGGAGGGTCCCAAGGAGTGAATCCTTCATGGCCTCATTCGTTCCTTATCTACACTCAGTCAACTCTGTTCAAGGTGTTAGGGAGACAGAGAGATGTATAAACAGGCTTCCTGAATTCCAGAGCTCACCATCTAGCCGTCAACAGAAGGCTGCAATACAGTAGGATAAGCGTTGTCATTAGGGCTGAGACTGAGTCGGTGAACACTAGTACTACTCCACTGTTCAAATATTCAAATACTTGCACACCAGTTGATAAACAGACCCTGTCACCACCCATCCCCCAGTCAACAAAGCCATCCCTTCCCTCCTCTGGTACCTTCTGGACCTTCTCACAGTCCAGCAGATAAACAGTGATACCTGGCAGCCCTTCAGTGCCAAGGCCAGCTACCTTCAGATGGGGCAGTACCCACACTCAACCAGTTGTTGAATATTTTGAATATCACCCCTGGAGGTGACGGAAGCAAGTACAGTAGTAGGACCACAGAGGAAGGACCAATGTCTAAGAGATCTTGGTGTCTGAGAGGACTTTACAAATAAAGGAACATGTGAACTGGGCTTTGAAGGATGAATAGGAGTTCACCCAATTGAGATGGCTATTGAGATAACTAAATACCACTGTGTGCCAGGCACTGTTACATACTTCACACAGTTTTTTTTTTTTTTTCTCATTTGATTCACAAAACAGTTCTTTGAAGTAGATGCCATCATTATCACCATTTTTCAGATGGGAAAACTGAGGCTCAGAGAGGTGAAGTGACTTAGGTAGGTAGCCCAATGAGTAGGAAGCGGAGCTGGCACGAATCATGGCTTGTATCTCAGAAGCTTACTGTGATAGCCAGAGGGCCTACTGGATGACAGAGAGGTTGGTGGCCCCAAGGTTTGGCCACACCCTGTCCTGTAGCAGGGGGTCCTCTGTGAGGTCTATCCTAACTGGAGGGGGAATCTAAAGGGGGCTGATCAAGACTGAAATTAGACCCAGGAGAGTGCAGTCTCCTCCTTTCTCCTCCTTCTGCCTCTAGCAAGCCAACAGCTGCCACATAACCCTTGCCAACAAAAACCTGCACAGGTACGGCAAAAAAAAAAAAAAGACAAAACTTGGGCTCCGTAAAAGAGGACCTCATGAAACTTGTGAACAGGAGGAAGCAGGAGGTGACAGTGATGAAGACAGGAGCTTTGAAGCAGATTCGGATAATCCAGAGTTCTTGATTTCATCTCCCTATGAGACTGGGTAACAGCCATAACTCATGCTTCCTGAGCACCTACTATGTGCGAGGTGCTAGGCTGAGTTCCTTACATGTGTCATCTCATGCATTTCTTATAATAGCCTTTCAGGGGATCTTCCGCTAGTATCCTCATTTTACAGTGAGGAAACTGCAGCCTAGAAAACTTAAGTAAAAGGCAGCTGTTAAATGGAGAAGTTAGGATTCCAACCCAGAAAGTCTACCCTCAGAGTCCAGGTGCTTAATTACTTGACTTCCCTTGTGTCATTTCACTTCGCTGGGCCTCTGTGTCCTCATCTGTACCTTTAACTAATAATCATACTTACTGCACAGAGTGGTTGTGAGGGTGGAGTGAGATAAGGTATCCATTCATTTATAAGATA